GCTGAAATACCACGTAAAGCTGCAAGCTTTACATCCATGCATGGCACCTAGGGCTCGAAATGCCAAAACAAGCCCTATTATAGGGTTTAATGGATAAAGGCTTGCCTCTAGCTTGATGAAGCTTGGATCTTTGGACTCAAGGAACCTCCTACAGTCCAGATCTGAGGTTTCAATCTCATGACATGCTCAAATGACTCAATAACCAAAAGATGGATGGAAGAAAACCCTAAAACTCCCTAGAATGAGGTATAACAAAAGAAATGGTCAAGATAGCAGCTTTTTACCTCCAAACAGAAGCTAATCACTGAAGAACGCCAGCTCCAAAAGTCCCTCCTCGATCCAATCCGTGTTTCTCTCCAAATCTCATTCCAAAAATGCTTAAGAACACTCAAATTAATCTCTCTCTCTCTCTCTCTCTCTCTCTCTCTCTCTCTCTCTCTCTCTCTCTCTCTCTCTCTCTCTCAACGGGTGGAACTGGTCTAGGGTTTTCTCACAACGCTCTGAGGTGACAATGGAGGCGGATATGAAGGCTTAAGGTCCTTTAAATAGTTCACAAACACTGAAATTTAGGGTTTTCTCACTCAACACCTACTTGTCGAGTCGGGGTCCTACGAATCTTTGAGTAGACTCTAAAAATTTCGCGGCCATAATAGTCTTTACTCGGCGAGTTGGTGCTCCCCAACTCGTCGAGTTGCCCTGCCAAAAGAAATAAAATAATTAAATATCATACCTGGGAGTCAGGATGTTACAAGTCGGACCGAGAGGTGAGTTTCCCTCACTATACTTATGGGTCAAAGGCACCAAGGTCGGCCCATTGGATTATATATCTTGACTTGTTGTATGTTGTTATGCAGAGATATGTGGTTACTGGTTATGTGATTAGACTGGTAGATCTGTAGGACTACCTGTGTTTGCTATTATTTATTGATAAGTGTTATATATCGATATTTTTCGGTTTACTAGGTTGAGGCAGACCACCTGATAATGAAGGCCAAGATACCTATCGCGGTCCTGATAGACTGAAGGCCTGTGAAGCGGTCCAGTCACACCGAAGGCTCAGAGTGCGGCCTAGATAGGTTGAAGTCTCGGTGAGGCGGTCCGGTCAGGATGAAGGCTCTGTATGCATGCTGTTGTTGGTTATGTTATGAGGTGGTACTTTGGGGGAACTCAGTAAGCGTTGGCTTACAATTTTATTTTTGTTTCAGGTACTTCTGAGGACCGTGACATGGCGAAGGCGTGACCGTACACATCCTTGGTTTTATGTTGTTGGATATTAGGAGTCTCTGATTTTAAATAATGTTTTTGGGAAAAATGGTTATGTAAACACTTTTTTTAAGTAAATGAGTTGTTTTGAAAAGCTTTAACTCGTTGTGATTTTTGAGATGTTCGGTTCACATCTTATTTTTGGCAGAAGTTCCACGAGGAACTGGGTACGAGGTTGCATCTTAGCACTGCATATCATCTGCAGACTGATGGTCAGAGTGCACAGACCATTTAGACACTTGAGGACATGTTGAGGGCTTGTGTCATAGATTTTGGTGGGAGTTGGGACTCCTACCTTCCCTTAGTTGAGTTTTCTTACAGCAACAACTATCACTCCAGTATCGGTGTGCCACCTTTCGAGCTTCTTTATGGGAGAAAGTGTCGTATCCCAGTCTGTTAGGGAGAGATTGGACATATGGTATTAGGAAGGACTGAGGTAGTCCTTTAGACATCAGAGCTCATTCAGCAGATTAGACAGATCTTGCAGACAGCTCAGAGTCGACAGAAGAGTTATGCCGACAAGCTTCGATTTGAGTTGGAGTTTCAGGTCGGTGACATGGTTTTGCTGAAGGTATTACCCTAGAATGGTGTAATACGCTTGAGGAAAAAGGGAAAATTGGGGCCCCGATATATTAGACAATTTCGGGTGATTACCAGGGTTGGCAAGGTAGCTTATAGGTTGGATTTGCCTGAGGAGCTCAGTCAGATTCACAACACCTTCCATGTTTCGCAGCTGCGGAAGTGTGTGGCCAATGACTCAACGGTTATTCCTTTAGATGATGTTAAGGTTGATGATCGCCTCAATTACATTGAGAGACCGATGACGATTTTAGATCGGAAGACGAAGGCCTTGCGCAACAATGTGGTATCTTTGGTTAAGGTTCAGTGGCAGCATCAGAAGGGTACCGAATGGACATGGGAACCCGAGTCTGAGATGCAGGAGCATTACCCAGAGTTGTTCATAGCAGTAGACTTCGAGGACAAAGTCTAGTTCAAGTGAGAGAGAATTGTAACATCCCAACGATGAGGTATTTCCAAATTTAACCCTTAAGTATGAAGGTTTATGGTGTTTAGCCCTTGTGTATGAAAAAGCTTGCAAAATGGCCCATTGTAGCATTTTTGTAATTTCAGGCCGAAGGTTAGTACGTTGGGCGTACATGCGCGGGTCTAGTACGCAGGGCGTACATCGCATATGCAGGGCGTACGTGCGAAGGTTGCAAACCTTAAATTTTAGGGTTTGGAACCTATTTAAGCATCTTTATGGATTCCAACCTCATCTCTAATCAGCCTCCAACACCTCCTTTTAAATTTAGCAAACCCTAGCCACTTGTTTGAGCATTCTTGACCTTTGTGTGTGTTTTTGGTGGTCTTGAAGGAGAAAGAAGAAAGTAGAACCACCTTGGAAGCTTGAAGGAGCCTTAGATATGGGATCTTCACCTCTCTAGCAACCTCCAAGAGGTATGAAGTTTCAAACTTGGCTTGCATTTCATTAGATCTTGTTAATTCCTTCATTCATGAGCATTCTGTCCCAAGTCTTGACGTTTTTGGAGTATGGCATGCTTTAGTCCATTCTAGCTGTCCTTTCAGATATTTTGTGGGGCTTAGAAGCATAAAAACAGGGTTTTGGCTCTTAATCCTTCTCCATGCATGTGTTTGTTTGTCTTAATGGGTTAAGAGGATGGGGGGTTTTTAGCATTTAGTACTTATTGGCCATGCAAGACCATAAAGTTGGAAACTTTATGGTCAAGGATGATATTTGGGACTCGGATCTATAACTTGGTCGTAATAGCTTAAGTATTAAGCTCTTAACACGTTAAGGAGAGGTCCAACTGTAAATGCTAGGCGTACCATTTGGTACGCTATGCGTACACAGTTCAACCCCCCGACTCATCGGACAGTGAGTACGTCCCGCGTACATCCGAAGTACGCCCCACATATGAGGGTTGAGTTGACTCGGCTGGGTTGACTCGACTTATTTGTTGATTTTGATCGATTTTGACCAAGGGTATTTTGGGAAATTGCTATTAATCTAGAATGGTAAATGTTTTGATTATTAGGAGTCGGGTAGAGCCGGTTGTCGGAGCATAGATTCATTCAGACTGTATTCGGACCGAGAGGTGAGTTTCCCTCATTGTACTTATGGGTCGAAGGCACCAAGGCCGGCCCATTGGATTATATATCTTGACTTGTTGTATGCTGTTATGTGGAAATATGTGGTTACTGGTTATGTGATTAGACTTGTAGATTTGTAGGAGTACCTGTGTTTGCTGTTATTGATTGATAAGTGTTATATATTGATATGTTATGATTTACTGGGTTGAGAGGGACCAACTGATACTGAAGGCCAAGATACCTAGGGCGGTCCGGATAGACGGAAGGCCTACGAGGCGGTCCAGTCAGGCTAAAGGCTCAGAGCAGTCCAGATAGGCTGAAGGCCCGGTGAGGCGGTCCAGTCAGGCTGAAGGCTCTATATGCATGCTGTTGTCTGTTATGTTATGAGGTGGTACTTTGGGGGAACTCACTAAGCATTGGCTTACAATTTTAGTTTTGTTTCAGGTACTTCTAAGGATCGTGACAAGGCGAAGGCGTGACCGTATACATCCTTGGTTTTATGTTGTTGGATCTTAGGAGATTTTGATTTTAAATAATGCTTTTAGGAACAATGGTTATGTAAACACTTTTTGAGTAAATGAGATGCTTTGGAAAACTTAAATTCGTTGTGATTTTTGAGATGTTACAACATTGTTGGACTTAACTTAAGGTATTAATTGGTTAGGCATGGATTACTCAGGGGATTACTCGTGGACCATTAATTATTACGAAAATTATTTGAAAAAGAATAAATATAAGTTTAATCCTAAGAATATAAATATACAATAATGTTTTTCCTTATACAAAATATGCAACAATGTTTTTAAATAAGGTTGAATAATACTTAAAAATAAATATAAATACGTAATACATAAAAATATATAAAATACTTAAAAATACATGTAAAAACATAAAAAATACGTTTATACGTTTAAAATACATAAAAATACGTAAACATATACATATAAATACTTCAAAAATAAATAAATACGTTAAAAAATACATTTATACATTATATACAAATTTTGACGAAATCTGTAGAAAAGTCCTATTATTTTGAAAAAATTAATGATTTAGTCCCATATAAAAAAATGACTAAAGTGAATAAGTTAATCGGTTTCTTGGGCTTTTCTATTCAAAAAATTAAATAGTCGGGACTTTTCTGTTAAAAAAAATGTAAGACTTTATTAAAAGTTTTCCCCAAAATATTAATATTTTGCTGGAGATTTCCCTTAAATTAATTAATTTTTAAAAAAAATTGTATGACAAATGTGAAAATTCACACCATATATATGATAAAAATTTGAAGCAGTGTGAGAAATCCTAGGTGGCGCCTAGGTAGACCGTGACAAACTTGGCATCCCTTCCTCCTACTTAATATTCCACCGAATTGCCGAATCGAGCTTGGCATGCCGAGGTGTCAATCCGGTGTGTTCACTAGAGGCTATTGCCCAAGCCACTCGGGTTTAAGAAGGTAAAATTAAGTCAACCCTATAAGCTAGCGAGTGGTCGGGCTCCTCCTTGATGTTTCAGCCTCAATTCTTTGGAATCTCCAAACCCCAAAGACTCCATTACATCCCACGCATCAGACATCGCTTTCCTATATTTTTTACTGGCGGATATCTCTCCCACCTACTTCGCATAATCGCATCTTCCAAATCTTTATAAAAAACACTCCCAAATTCATTCTATCATTTCTTTAACCACGATCCCCCGTTTATCTCTCTAAATCTATCATGGGTTCCCAATCCAATGGGTCGTCGGCGAAGCCATTAAAGTTCTTGATCTATGGCAAAACCGGTTGGATCGGAGGTCTCTTGGGGAAGCTCTGTCAGTCTCAAGGTATCGATTATTCCTATGGTTCCGGCCGTCTCGAGTCACGCGACACCCTGATCGCCGATGTCAACACCGTCAATCCGACACATGTCTTCAACGCTGCCGGCGTCACCGGAAGACCCAATGTTGACTGGTGCGAATCGCACAAGGTGGAGACTATCCGTGCTAATGTCGTCGGAACCCTAACACTTGCTGACGTATGCCGTGAAAAAGGGTTGATTTTGATCAACTATGCGACTGGTTGTATATTTGAGTATGATTCAAAGCATCCTCTGGGGTCTGGTATCGGGTTTAAGGAAGAGGATAGTGCGAATTTCGTTGGATCCTTTTACTCCAAGACCAAAGCTATGGTAATGTCAATAAATTCTAATCAAATTTCATTGAAAGATTTCATTTTTATTAACTTTCGATGATTTCTGCATTGACCCGTGTGATGATTTGTTCTTATTATGATCTTTATGTGTGAATCTGTTCATCAAATGTGCTGGATCTGAGATATATTTTTGATCCAATGTATATGATTAAAATGTTTCCTGCAGGTGGAGGAATTGCTCAAGAACTACGAAAATGTATGCACATTGCGTGTTAGAATGCCGATTACTTCCGATTTAACCAATCCACGAAACTTCATCACAAAAATCACTCGTTATGAAAAAGTGGTAGATATTCCAAACTCCATGACTGTTCTTGATGAGCTTCTTCCAATCTCCATAGAAATGGCAAAGAGGAACCTCACTGGGATCTACAACTTCACAAACCCTGGTTGCATTAGCCATAACCAGATCTTGGAGATGTATCGTGATTACATTGATCCAAAGTTTACATGGAAGAATTTCAATCTTGAGGAACAAGCTAAAGTGATCATTGCTCCAAGAAGCAACAATGAGCTTGATGCCACCAAGTTGAAGACCGAGTTTCCTGAGCTTTTGTCAATTAAAGATTCACTTATAAAGTATGTGTTTGAGCCAAATCGTAAGACCCCTGTGAAAGCTTGATAGTTGCTTGAGGTTTGATGACTTTTTGCTTTGCCTATCATTCATAATTATTGTTTTATGATGAGTTTAGTTTCTTTGATGTCCTTTATGACGCAATATGGTGATATTTTCTGTACTTGTTGTGTTGTATTATTTGGATTGATTCGATTAAGAATAAATTGTGGTACTATTCGAGCTCCAGGTAATCACTACATCACTTAGAAGGCAAGCATATCCTAATTACTTTGTCGGCTATAAGGTTCAACGTGAAATAGGATTAAAAAGATTATAAGGTTCAAACTCCTCACTTACCCAAACATAAAACAAGCCCCATTTCCGTCATCCAATTTTATCTCTTCTCCATAGGGATATACACATGGGCCAAACTACTAAATACTTAAATTTTTTTCAAATGTGGCTTAGTTCATGTTCATGATTTTAATGTCACCGACTCACCGTCCATCGGTGGAATAAATACAATAGGGATTAAAACTATGATCCAATATCAAATTAAAAGGTGCGGAGAGCACATTTGTATATAAGACGAGTTTGTTCTCGGACACGACAAAATGTAGGGTCGAGGGGCAACGTCCTCTTGGGGTTTGGTGCAACACCCCAAAACCTTATAACGTTTTCCAAGTTAGAATGTTGATGTGTAAAATCAAGTCTTATATTTTTTAATAGGCTTTTACCAATGTTAGAGGTTATTACACGCCTACGCAAGTGTACATAATCGATATAATATAGCTTTGGTAAGACTGGACGTCGAACTCTTGGGAAACGCATATAGTTCAGTTAAAAAACTTCAATTGTTAATTAAACTAAAAACAATAATTAAAATTGAGGGTATTTGTAGTTAACTCTAAAACAAGAAAACGGTTTGATTACTAAAATAAGAACAAGAAACAATCTTAAAACAAAGTAAAGTTGGAAAATTGGATTTATAAAAAGTTAATTAAAGAAATGCTTATACTTAGATTCGATTACTCCATTCTGGTTGATTTCTATGAAGTGGACTGGATAATAGTTTGTTATTTACCGATTCCTAATGTGGTTAGGTCTCTTGGTCCGATTTACTAACCATATGATCATAAGGACATGAGAATCAAATATCCTCCTACAATTTTCTCCTACTTATCTTCCTACCCATGTTAAATGGTGACAAGTGGATTAAAATATTATTAAGAAAAATTAAGTATGACACATGTCATCATTTGACATGGGTAAGAGGACGGTAGGAAGAAATTGTATGAGGATATTTAATTTCTCTAAGGACATTAATCAAATTGGTCATGTAACTAAATATACATATTATCAACCTATAACTTCGTATGATGCAAAAATTAATTTATTGATCTTAATGGTCGTGATAATCAAATAACTACACTGAATGGTTGTCACATGCAAATGTTCATAGACATTAAAGATAATTATTTTATAACCTAACCCTAGGATTTTGGTCTCTCGCTAGTCATATTTTTCTAATGGTTATAAACAAAAATGATTCAAAAAAACATAATCAAAATGGTCATCAAAACTATGTTAACTCAATAATAGATTATAAAGATAGAAAATTTAACACATATGAATCCTTGATCAAACAAACATGATAAGATAAATAACTACAAAATATCCAAATCATAGAAATCAAACTATATCATTAGGGTTCATACACTCTAAGTGAAAACAAAAGTTTTTAGCCCATGATCAAGGATAAGGAACTCTAAGAAGTCACAGGCAATTTGTTAATCATGATTGATAAAGCAAACCGAATTATATTACTCTTAATTCTTCAAATCATTGTTCCAAATCTGTTCTCCAACCTTCAAATCACCTATCGACTGCTTCAGGTTGCTTAAAAGAGCATAGAAGTTGCACACCTCTTTGGGTCAAAGATAAGGCTCTATTTATACTTTTCATAATCAACCTAAAATGTGTTGTGTATATCTTATGTATATGTCACGTTCTTCAACACTCCGCAGTGAACTCTAATTCCTCAAAACATCGTGTTTTCCTTCTTGGACTCAACATTGCTTGATGCTTCTTTTGTTACAACAAATTCTTTTCACCTATAAAGTAAATTTCAAGCTATTAAGTACCATTTATCTTATTTTTAACCGAAACATAGCTCAAAATATTTTGATGTCCCATGAAATGCATATATAAAAATGCTAACATGAGAATAACCCATTTTGTGGAGGCTTTGTCTCTTAGATTGAAGGTCTAAGGTTCTAATTCGGATGTTGACGATTTATACTAACATGGTGATACTAACTTCTAACCACTAACCAATCGTTCATATATATATATATATATATATATAACAACATCAAATGTCGTGGAAAACGTTTTTCCCTTAGAGCATTAGGTATGAGTTACGTTGTAACACCAAATTCATATGTCACCTCAACCATAACACCACCATAACACTAAGGGGAAATGATGTTCCCCATGTTATAACATGTTAAGAGGTAGAGAGAGAAAGAAAGAATAGGAAAACACCATATAAAATCCAGATTAAACATAAATGAAAATTAAACATAAATCCAAATCAAACATAACACTATCATTTCTTCATTATACCTAAAGCAACTAATTGCAATAATACAAGAAAATCAAGATTTCTGAACACTATCATTTCTTCATTATACCCAAAACAATTAAAAGCATCAACTCAAGAGCTTCATGATTCTTTCCACTATAAAAAAGTTACAACATGATTAAACTCCATGTATAACCTAAAACATATCTAAAAGATAAAAATTTTCTCTTCTTTTGTCAATTTTCACTTATTGTCCAAAATACCCTATCTGTGTAAACTACAATTTCTTTACTTCAATCCATAACAAAAACTCCCTAAGCTTGTGAGGTATGAAATCTTCTCTACTAATAGACACCACCTGTTCAAAATTTCATCAAACAAAACAACAAACAACAAAGCATATGACTTCATCAGCAAAACATTATCATATTTCAGAAAAAAGAACTAGCAAAATTTCTGTGTAGCAGGCTTGTGCAATGAATTCCAGATTCTTTTTTGGGTTGTTATATTGATCAAGAAAGCAACAAACATCCCATCATGGAATTCAATCTTTTGTGATGCAGTGACTTTAAACTGTACGGGTGTACCACTATCATCATCCTCTGTATTATTTACTAATAAAAAGCCCATATACTACTCACACTCTGTAAATCAGAAACACATCCGGGTTCTCCATTTGTTAAAATAAGCAGATCACCAGGTAAAGTCTGATAAGGCCAAACAACAAATAATGCATCAAATCACAAGAAAGATTCATGTCATGGAGATATGATTTAAAAAGATACCGGAGGTGAAGGCGGCACAAGTGAAGCAACCGGGAGGCAGATGCGAAGTCGGCGGGGGCGGCGGCGACGACGTTGCCAACCGAATGGATGCAGACAGAATCAGAGGAGGAGGAGAAAGGGGTGGAAGAGAACCGGCGTCAATGAGGGAGCCGAAGGGCTTGGCTACCGGCGACGATGTCGGAGACGGCGTTGATGTCGGAGGCGGTGTTGTAGATCGGAGGAAGCGGACGATTATTGGAGATCGGTGAGGGAGAAGAAGCGGATGAGAAGGAAGAGAAGGGGGCGAGAAAGAGAGAACGTGTTTTGGGGTTAAGGGCATAACGTGTCTTTTATTTTTTCAGATGGGGTTTCAAATCTGATTCGGTAAGTGCTAAAATTCAGATTCAGACCAAAACTTAAGAGGTAAACAAACGGTCTGAATCTTAAAGATTCAGACCTACCCCTTATTAAGAGGTATTAAGATGCAAACAAACATGCCTTAAGTTATGAACCATACTTTTTCCTCGGTTCATGCTTTCACCACCATAATTTTATAATTTGTCCATTTTGGTCCCTCTCAATCTTCCTTTGTTAATAAGAGACATGCGTCTTCAAAGTGACGACTACGTTAGCATCAACACCTGGGTTGGCTTAATTTCTAATGATTCGTCTTTGGCTTAATCTCTTTTACCATGTTCTCTAGTTTTTTTAAGAGGGAAAGGAGGGAATTAAGAGGGAAAGACTTGCTCTTAAGTTTTTTTTTTTGAAGGAGAGGGAAAAGAAAATGAGAGATCAAGCGGGAAAGAAAATGAAGAATTAAAAGCAATGCTTTAAAAATTGGTTTGAACTGGCCGGTCTAACCGGTTGGACCGAAAACCGAGGATGGGAGCCGTTCAACAACGACCAGTTTTCTGTCAATTTCCGAACCGGATTGAACCGAACAGTTTCTTCAAAAAATCTGGTTGAATCGGTGTGATAGAACCGTTAAAAAAACCATTTAAACCAGTTTATTGGACGTGTATTGTTAAATTTCCCTTAGCCCGTTAAAAAAGAACTCATTTCCAAAGCAAAGTGAACATTTTTGGAGTGTACACAACTCGAAGTTCATCACACACCATCACCAGACGTAGGAAAATTCTTGGTTGAACAGATGGTCGAACTGGTTGAACCAACAATCAAACCAGTTGAACTAGGAATCGGTCACCAGACCGGTCCAATTAGAAAACTGGTTTGTAAAACATTGATTAAAAGCAATGTTTTAAAAGTCGGTTTAAACCTGTCGGTCGAACCATTAGACCAAAAACCGGGGACGCGAGTGGTTCAACGACAACCGGTTTTATGTCATTTTTTGAACAAGATCGAAATGGACAGTTACTTCAAAAACCCAGTTGAACCGATGTGATAAAACCGGTAAAAAACTGTTTAAACCAGTTTATTGGACTTGTATAGTTGAATTTTCCTTAGCCCGTTAAAAAACAACTCATTTACAAAGCAAATTGAACATTTTCGGAGTGTACACAACTCGAAGTTCAACACACACCACCACCAGACGTAGGAAAATTTTTGGTTGAACAAACGGTCGAACCGGTTGAACCAACGGTCAAACCAGTTAAACCGGGAATCGCTCACCAGATCCGTTCAACTAAAAAACCAGTTTTTAAAACATTGATTGAAAGTAATGTGTATCTGCCCAATTTTGGATGGGCGGATTGAGAGGGAAAGCCTAAAATCACAAATTTTATAACCTTTTCGGTTTCAAAATCCACGGACATTTGTCAAAAGCATCTCATCATTAGACAACACTTTCTAATTAAGATCTACATTCTTCAATTTCTTACCATGGTGTTATCTCCTTTACCTATTCTTACTTCCCTAAAACACTAAACCTTGATTGG